CTTGTGAGATACGCTCCTAACCAAGATTGTGCCAATCATCAGAGGATATATAATGTGCATATGTTTTTTGCATGCTTAAGCGCGCATATCGAAAAGAAGTGAAAAGATGTATAAAAGACTGACAGAAATTGCGGGACAGAAGCGAAATAGTATTGTAAAATAGTTCGTCAGATCCTAGACAAAAAAAAACGGTGCAAACAGCAGTGAGAAATGAATATGTACTGCTCACAGGTTGAGGCGAGACGGTTAGTGGCTAGCTGTTGTTTAATCTGAGAGCATAGTTCATCTACCAATTCCACTTGATCAATGCGCCTCAATCTCGCCCAACTTGAGAGCCAATAATAATCTTGAGCTAATAGCAAAGAAATTAAGGACCTACCACCTCGAATAATTCGATTGCAATGAAACCACTGCGTGTACAAATAAACTTTGATTACAATGTTAATTTTTGATTTGCTCAATTCTGTGCAGCCGTGTTATCAGAACTACGTAATGTTTCATATCATTACATATAAAAGAATCGTAAGGGGTACACTATGCATTTTTTGCAGAGAAGGACTTTCGAGCATCCTTCGCTCCTTTAAAACATCGCTGCGGGATCTTGGTATGTGCATTTGGACGGTCCTTTAGTTTCTGCGGATATAAAAGAGGCATTCACTCCAAGAATTCGTTACATTCGTTTTTTGTGTTTGTTTTTTGTTTCTAGTCTCGAAACCCCTTTTTAAACCTATTTTCGGAAAAGAACTTTCGCGGCAAGCTTTGTCCTCGAACAAGTGTGAGAAGCAATTTAACCTCAAAATTCAGAACTGTGCTTCCTTTCAGGTATGCGTTTCTCTCTACGGCCGCCATAAATGCCCCTTATCTCCACTTAGAAAACCTTTCTACAAGGATGTCATAGATTTTCGTCTTTTTTCCCAGCTTTGTTCGCTTACATTGGCATTTCCAGTAGAGACAACTATCCTTGAATGTTGCCTCACTTCAGACCCATTTTCTTCCCTTTTTACGAAAGATTTTCGAAATTTCAACAGCATTTTCATTTAAGAGCTTGTCTTCTTCTTTCCATTGGTACCATTTTTGGCAGCCTGTTTTCACTTTTTGCTGAGTTATGAGCGTTTGAATTGTTCCTTTTCTTTTACATAAACGTCATTTGTACGGTTTATATGGTAGGGGGTCAAAATCAATATTGCTAAATCTGGTCTAGGGAGTTTTCTGACTTGCTGAACGCGATTATCATACTTCTGCATTCTGGCGCCTTTTCATGGAATCACGGTGGGTATAATGTATGGGGCCGAAAATACAAGTATGCTCGAAACTTTGCCTATGGATTTATTTAGCCCGCTGAACATGAATATCATACGATTTCCCTCTTAGCGCCATTTTCTTAGCACGGTGGGTGTACGGTAGATGAGTCGCAGTTCCAAATCTCTCAAAACTCTGGCTTGAAGGATTTTCAAGGAATCTGGTTATTTTAAGTTTGCTCGCGGCATCAATGCCTTGTTGTGGAAGCACGATAATTCGTGGCGTATGGAGAGACATTTTTCCACCCTTTGAGCTAATTCAAATCACAAAAATTTTGCTAAAGGCTTTATCGTGCGAAATGAACACAATCCGCTTGACCAGCAGGACAGATGATTTTTTGGCAAGTATATGATTTTTAACCTTATACCATATATCCCGTAACTCCACGAAAAGATCCCAAAATGCAAGGAGAGTGTGATACCTGTGATCAGCATGTAAAGTGACCCTTCTAGACCGAATTTCGACCGAACTTGAGATTTTGTCTGCCTACCGTAAACCTACCATAATTATATGAAAGGGCCCTATAATGCAGAAAGAATGCGATAATCGTGATCAGCATGTCGAATAACACCCCTAAGCCGCGTTAGCGAAATTCTAATCTGGCCCCCTACCATATACCCACTGTGACCTCGAAAAAGAGCTATTGCGCAAAAATGATAGTCAATGGCTTCAGGTCGAATACCTTCCCCTCCCCTTCTAGACCAAGTTTGAGCAGGATCACTTCGAACTTGGGGCATTGGAATAACTCCGTTCAAACTAAGTCAGCATGGCCATCAACATCAGAGTCGGACTTGAAGGCAGTGTCTCACCAGATTTTGCGTCTCGGGGTTTTTGCAAACAACCCATTACGACCTTGTATACCCCCAAACGGGCTTAAATCCGTTCAAAAATCCGAAAAACTCCGTTGTTTGGAGACTCCGTAGAAGCAACGCGGACGAGTTGTCCCGATTTATCTTAGCCTTGGCCGCCGGGTCAGACATGTCAAGATGGAAGGCGTCGCTTGGAAAGACTCGTTGAGACGCGATAAGAGAACCGATAAGTCGCTCAGCGAGCCGAAAAGCTTTTTGAGCTCAATTTTTCTGAAGTAGAAGAGACTTAGTAGAACGGGACTTGGGCATTGGCCTGAGAAGGGGACTCCCTAATGAAATCTATAAAATCCGGTATACCTCCAATACAGTGAAATGCTGTCTTTAAGCATGAATGGAAACTTTAGTGGGAACCTGATCAATGCAGTGATTGGAAGGGGGAGGCAGAAGGGAAGGAAAGAGGATTTTCGAGAAGGCTACTGAATTTTGGCATTGCAAAGTGTTAAGAAATTGTGCAGCAACCATAAATTGAGAAGATTTGAAAAAGAAGCTTTGGGATTTTGGCACGGAAAAGTTGAGGGGAACGGTGTAAACATTGTGGACGAAAATACTTTGAAGGAGGAGGAAGATTCTGTGTCTTTGGCAGTAAGCTTTGAGAAAAGGGGATTTTAAAGACAGGATAGCTCTTTGAGTAGAAAAAATGGATAACATGATTATGGATTAAAGGGGAACTTAGGGCCTCTTGGCTTAGGAAATTGGACAGGAGAAAGATATTACAAGGCTAGATGGAGAAGGAAGTTAGGCACCTCTGATGCTTTGACGGAAAAAGCAGCCAGCGAATGAATTTACGCCGAAAGAACACACAATACATCAGCTAGAAAAAGTTACAGAAAGGAGGGCTACGGAAAGGATGCTTTTTGAGGAGGAAAAGCACTATTTCGATTATCCCATGCGCAGGACGAGTCTGGAGGAGAAGTATGAGTAGGGTGTGCAAGTCCATTTCCGAGAATGAGCTTCACTGAATGCGACATCTAGACAATTCTTTCATCTAGCAATCTTTTACAAACAATCGTACTTTTGTCATTCAAACCTATATGCACCATGCATTTTCAGCAGATCTTTTTTATCAAAACATTAATGAACAAAAATTACGGCTTTTTACGGCATTGAAAAGTGTTATCCGAGGTTTTGGTGACTCAGTATGACAGTTCTCACAACTGATAGCCATCGGGCCGCTAGTACTATCCATAAATGGCAGATGGGAAATATTCATAAGTGCCAGAAATCTGTCGATTTCTAGGCATAAACATTTATCAAAGCTCATCACTACCTTTTGTTCCATACGACATGAAAATATTATGCACGCCTAGACTTTCAAACAAATTTGCACCGCCACCGACTGACAATTTTCAACATTTGCTTGACCTAGCCTCGTGATATGACTTAATAAACCGAGCGTGCAAGTGCGGCGCTGCAGCTACACGTCCTCGCAACATTTCATTTGCTGCATCCACTGAGGTTACTTGCTGAGAGGAAGGGAGAAGCAAAGCTGCGATGACCTTGCCATTCATCTAAACCATGCGCACTTCCCTCCCACTCTCAAAAATTAGAATGAAACTCACCATGTAATGCCGCGCATCACAAATGAATTGCTACGAACTACACATTCCGAATGCCCTAATAAGAAATCGGTGATGTTGAGCGAAGAAATTTTTGCAGCTGAAGATCAAATACGGGTTTCAAATAGTTCCTGGTTTTCTAATGATATAACGATTGCCGCAAAGACAATGACGCCACCGTAGTACAATTCTGAGCAAAAATCTCCTCTTTTCCTTCAGTGGACGTTTGAAAATCAAGCATTTACTCAAATTTCACATTTTGGCGCCGTTTCGCGAGAGAATGAAATTTTTTCAAGAATCTTGCGTTAAAACGCTTGGTTTATGGATGAGCATGTGACATAAGTCCATAAATTCGCAAGAGATTGTGATGCAGGTCCACTTCCGCGGGCCTAAAGCCATGTGGAGCCAGTGGCTCTATATGCCTTTATGCTCTTCAGCCAGCCTAAAGCCAGTGCGTCACCTCTGCTTCGCAGAGGCTCGCACTGGCTCTATATCTAGGCCCTACTCATTCTCTTATAATGATGACATTGGAACTCACCGAGTGATGCCGACTATCACGAACAAAATGTAAACAACTACTCATTCTGAAAGCTTTTTTATGTAAAATCGGTGATTTCGCGTGGATGAGACTTTTTGCAGGGAAACAAACGCAAATTTTCATAGGTTTTTGACTTTCCCATGGTCTTTGCAGTTGCAATAAGAACAGCAATTACCGTGGGCTACATATTTGTGCAAAAATCTCGTCAAATGGTCTGGTAAAACCTTGGCAAATTGACCATTTACGCAACTAATACTTTTTGGGGCCGTTCTTGTAAAGTAATGGACTTTCGATCACTTTTTTGAGCCTAAGTTCATGGCTTGCACATTTACTTGGCACAAACATCCACGACTCTGAAAAAAGTGGAATTACGGACCCAATTTTGCGGCCCAAACGCAAAGTGGATCCGTTTGACACGCAGTTTCTGAGGGATCCACTCAACGAATCTGCTCGTGCTTTTGCATGTTCGACTTTCTTGCGGGTAGCATGCGCTGTGCAAAATTTGGGCCCAGGAGGTTGGCTGGAACCCGCCCTACGAATTTCGTAACAGACACACTCTCACACACACACACACACACAAAAACACGTAAACACCCTTAGCCCGTTATTATAAGTTATGATATTATAGATTGATTTCGTGACTTTTAGAAATTGGTTACTTCACTTTTTCTCAAAGATTTACCAATCGCTTATGTCAAATAAAAGATTCATGATAGCTTTTACTTTTCCTTGTTCAGCATGCGACTTAGCATATTTGCGGTTGTTTTCGGCGCTGCATCTTCTGCAGTTTTTCATGCTCCACTTCTTTGGAGAAGATCAGAAAAGGTCATATATTGCACCCCTTGCTAGATAGTTTGATCCAGATTTGTTGACAATTCTTTTCATTGCAGGTGGAAATGATTGCCAAAGGAAAATATTCAGATTACAAAGACAAATTGGAATCTTTGCGAAAGCATGATACAGCTGGTATTATGGTCGGTTTTTCATATGTTGGCTTCTTGTCTGCATTGGTTTTCACAATTTGAAACGTAATAAGTTTATCTTCTATGCCAATGTTAAGTCGTTACGTTATCGAAAGCCTTTTCATCATGATAAACGAATATTTGGATTGCTCAACACTGCTTATTGTGCAGAGATATTTTTCAAAGAAGTTAATCGCACGTTTAGCTAGCGCAAAAGTTTTTTAAAACCATTTTTCTGGAAATACATCTGTCGTCTCCATTAAGGGTCTTTTTGAAGAATTGATTTTATAGCATCTTGGTATCTTCCAGTACTCACAAACTTTAAGGATACAAGCAGAAAATGAATATCATTTTTGATTCGCAAGAAATCTGAGTTCCAGCTTTTTTGCCTAATTTCAATCATATTTTCACAAATAAAATCGTTAGCACATAGTGCTATTGCCTATGGCATATACGTCTTCAACAACAAAAAAGCATTATTAAATTTTTGTTTTCAGCTGCATGAGCTTAGTTCCGAATATTTCCAACAAATCACAATCGGGAGACCAGAACAATACCCGTTTTGGATGTGGCTAACAACATTCTCTTCGATGATGTGGATAACAACTTCTCAATGCAAAAGGTGAACTCGGGACGATTTGAGTACTTACCAAATTTGAAATAGTGGTTGGGAAAGAAAACTAAGCTTCTTAGTATTAGTGATTGCTAATTAGCAAAAAAGGGGTTATCAGACCTTGGGTTGAAACTTGTTATGTTTGGAGCAGTTTGAGTACTGTTGACAATTTGGGGGGGGGGGGGGCTCTCTTCAAACATAGAGTTATGTTTGCTTCATCTTCGCTCAGTTGTTCTGCTTCGTCAGAAAAACAAAAAGGCTCACGTATGGAGCATAGAAATACTTTACAGTCCATGTTAGTGGCTATACTATGTTATGCCAGTGCCAGGTTTGTATGGTGGAATTCTTTATTGGCCTTACGTTTCGACAAATTCGTCTTCGTCGGAGGCCTGAAAGTAGACTGCAGTGTTATCTTTGCAAGACCAGACCGCCAAACGCCTCCCCGCACTGCCAATAAAGAATTCCACCGTACAAACCTGGCACTGGCATAACATAGTATAGCCACTAACATCAATTCCAAATGCCAAGGTTCAGAGAGGAGAAAACATGGAACTTTACAGTCCAATTTGCGACCAAATGAAGAAGTTCGATCCAGACAACTCGACAACGTTCATTTCATTCATAGACTCGTGGAAAAGTGTGGCTTACGATGGGACTGCAAGTGGACAAAAAATGGGCAGTGACGAGATGCGGGTTAGTCAAGTTGAATTAAGACCGTTTTCCCCATATCTCTTTCTGGAAGAAATATAGACTATATCAAGTGTCATGTTCTCTACATAACCGTCAGCAATTCAGCTTGGAGGTGTACATGAGTCCCAGCAGTTCGTACTACGGACCCAGTTTGGCATTGCTACAAAAGTGAATGTTACGCAGAATGAGGTTTATAATATTTTTATTGTGACTATCGTGTGGTAATGAATGGTCAAGGTACATTATGACGGAACGATAGGTCTTGCATTTGGAGAATACAACAACAGTAAAGGATTTCCATTTGTCACCAATGCTATAGAAAAAGGTGAATATACAGTTATTAGTGAAGAATGTTGCTCGTGACTTGCATATATGAAAATTACAGGAAACTTTGACAAACCTGTCTTCACGATTTGGTTGAGACCCTACCCCGTTGTTGGCGATTCTGGAGGAGTCATTACTTATGGTGATATTGACACTTACAATTGTGGTCCCGTAATCCAGTATGAGAATATAACTTCTGACATAGCATATATTTACACAGTATGTTCGAACTTCATCCAATTTTGCTTGAGTCTTTTAATATTTGATAACTAAAGAGAGAGGAAAATCGAGCTTGAAAAACTCGTTGGGCTTTATTAGCACTTTCTAGATTCTAAATAATAGTTCCGACCTCTCCACTGTCCTTGGCACTAGAGTCAAAACTTTTTCTCAGCGTAACAGTTTTTCTCGGTCAGGAAAGTAGCATGAAAGTGGGATGTTGAGAACATTTTTTTCATCAAGGCTAGTCAGTAAAAACACGAAATTCCAAAACATCGCAAAACATCACACTTTTTTCTAGATTTAGTCATAAAATCGTATTTAGAATTAGAATCAGATATTTTTTCATTCAAAATATGCAAAAACATTTGTACAATCTGTGATTATTGCCAAGTAGAGCTTATCGCATCAAAGGCATGCATGAAAAAAGGCAGGGCTTGACAAGCTGGTGCTCTAACACAATTTACAAGGAGGGACAGGTTTTGCTCTATTTGAAAAAATCCCAATACACTACAGTATGGCACTACGTTATGCAGTTAAGGAACGTCAAGCTACCTTACCTTGTGAGAAACTTTTGGAGACAGTGATGTAAAGAGTGTGATCGTAGTAAAAAGTAGCTGTTCAAAGAGATAAAGAAATATTGAGTCGAGTTGAGTTGCTCAGATCTATGAACAGCGTTCCATGCTGATATGACTATATCGGCTTGTCTTCCAAAAAAGTATTCCATTATATGAAAAAGCATGGAGTTTGAAAGTTATTTACACCTTGAAGGAAATCTGATAGGCATTTTTATTTTTTAAAATTTTTTGTAGATTATTACCAAAGTACCTCTTTTCTAGATTGATCGTATCTCTATGGGGACCTGGCTATATAAGATGCGCTTTGATGTTGAAATTCATCTCAGCAGTTTTATTTTGGGGCCAGAATACATTGTTGAACTCTTTGCCAAAGATGCCAGCGTCGAGGTATTTGTTTCCAAATTAGTAATTTGTTTGAGTCGAGTACTGGTGTCAAGATAGGAGATGATGGAGAATACTATGTCGACTGTGACGCCAAATTCAACGATTTGGAGATCAGCTCCGGGGACATTATATACAAAATCAGTTACGAGAAGCTAATTATACAGGCAAGCCTTATTATTGCGCAAATACTTAGTGCTAATAAGATTGCAGAAGCTGAGTTTTGAGACTTGAAATCGTTTTAATTCTAGGGTAGAGTTAAAACTTGGTTGGAAAAGCGGCGGGAAAGCAGGTACGGGTATTAGAGTGTTTGAACCGCAGAAGAGAGACGTTTTTGGAGAGCACTGACTTCGAAAACATTTTGAGCCATCTGAAAAAAGTAACGCTCCTCATTTTAAATTGCGCTGGATTTATTAACCACATATCTGAGACTTTGTTACTGCACCTTTACAAAAAGTTTTGACTGATAAAATCACCGTTTTGAAGTTGAAATAAAGCTTGTTTGTGTTCGTGTTTGATTATAAACCGCTAATTCACATTCTCCGCAAAACATCTCTAAGATTGACCTAGACTTTCATTCTGGTGCAACTATACCGTTTTCGGGTAAACTCTTTTGAGTAGTGCCAGTTGTTTTTTTTTTGAGTTTTTTCCAGAAAATCTATGGGGTGAAAAAGTGGAAAACTTGACGTCTAGAAATATGCAAAGAAAAAGATCTAATACGGGTAGAATGCGGTCAATCTCTCAGTGATTTCTAAACGGCTGGCAATTCTCAACAGAATCATGCGGGGACTAATTACATCTCAACTGTTTTAGGTTGAGTTTGCTCATTGTGTTGCAGCAGTTTTTGAAGTAGAGTTGGCTTCAAGCACCCTCTCCGAGAAAGTCTACTTGATCAGTTAGAAAATCAACGTCCAAATTTGTAAAGTTTTGTGTTTCGCCAGAAAAGTTCTGCAACGCTAAGCGCTTGTTCTGGCCATGTAGACGTCATGTTGCAAAAATGTCCATAACTGCACTCACACTTTTCTGCCCTTTTAGCTTTAAAGCCCCAAGATTAGCCCTTCAAAAAATACAAATACTTTGGCGCGGATATGAGCAATGCACTTGTCTCAACTTATTGCGCAAGAAAGGATTCTAATACGAAGGTTGCTAACCTCTAGGGTAAGGTTATGATTCGTTTGAAAAACGCGACGAGTGCACAGGGATGTTTAAAACGTCAAGCAAAATATGTATCGGAAAAAAATTGAATTCGTCTCATATCATTGGTGAAATTATCTCATGACCTTGTTAAAAGCTTATTGGTGTGCTTGAACCACAGAACAAAGACTTTTCGGCGTGCTGGATTTACAGGCTCAAGTTGTTTGAGAAGAGTAACGCACCTTTTTGAACAGCATTGAACTCAGCGTACAGCGTTTTACTGGTTCCGTTCTTTACTGGTTTCGTTACTGTGGCTTTAGCCACAATAACAAAGCCTTTAGTGTAGCTAGTTACTTGATGTACAGGATAGTAGCTGAGACTTAATCTTTTCAGTCACTTCGTAGCAGTGGCGGTCGCAGGATTTCGGACCGGAGGAGGGGGGGGGGGGGGGGGGTGTGCGGCGAAAATTTTTTTCTAATGAAGGTGCGTGGCGTCAGCCACGCACTCCGAAACAATTTTTTACAAGGCTACTTTAAATTTGTAAAAAATTTTACAAATTATTTTAACTGTTTACAAAAATAAACAAGTCATTTGCGCATTTTTATAACCCACGTAAGTAAATTTTAAAAATTTCGCGACCACTCTCGGGGGGGGGGGGGGCTCCCCCTCCCCGCCCCCTCGGTCCGCCACTGCTTCGTAGATCAAAACGCACTGCCTTGGCAATATTCTTTCTTTATTATATCTCAGGTAGATGAGGATACATGCCTATTTGCCATTCTACCATGGAGGCAGTTATCGCCTTTCCGATCCACCTGGTACATTGGAGCGCCATTGTTGCGACAGTACTGTGTTGTGTTTGACATCGAAAAACGCCGAATCGGATTTGCAGACCATGTCCCAGATGACCAAAAATCGTCGACAATCAGACCTTCAACGCCATCACTTGCCACACTGTGGACGCGAACGTAAGCTTTGCATTTTTTTTGTAGGATAAATTACGTTGCGTGCGTTCGTTACAACCTCTTCATGATAAGGGTCACTGCTAGGCAGACAGGAAAATTGTAATTAGCGCACAACCTTGGTTATGTAATAGGTCCTTTGAAGCTCGATATGGTTACATAAATAAAGTTAAAGTACTTCGCGAAAAGGGGAAATAATTACATGTTTCAGAATCAGCAGCACGACAAGTGCGGGATGTGGTACCCGACTATTGACCACTGTTGCTATAGCTATATGGCAGTTTTCTCAAAGATGTCTATAGGAGCAGTGTTTTCATTTTTTTTTAGAAAACATGAACTCAATCGATAATTCCTGTTTATACATATTATTGATACTCACGTTATGAAAAGTGCAAGTTTACTACTTATATTCAAAGCTTTTGAACGGGTTTCGAAGCTGACTACGAATCATGTGCTTGGTTGCTTCTTATAACTCCTGCCTGTGATTTGCTCTTTTTTCTCGAAACAGCTTGTATTTCTATACTAAGTTGGATAGTCATAGAAAATTGGATCAAAAGGAATAACAAGTATTGTTTCAGGTAGCAAAAATAGGAAAATGCTAGTAATTACAGAGAAGACCTAATTGATACCAAAATTAGGTGTCAGGCATAATCGGACACCTAACTTCTGTGATTGCATTTGATCGAAAGACTCAGTCAAGTTTGTAGTCAGTCGTCAGTTCGAATCGAGACCAAGGCCAAGAAATCAAACAAGAAACTTTCACATTCGGACTATATTTCTTTGAGCGGATAGCTTCTTGCACTGAAAAAGGGGAAAAACTTTGAGTGGGAAATAAATGCAAAGTCCAAGCAAAGCTGTGAACGACTTGAGCTATGGTTGACGCCGTTTTGTTTTGTAATTGGGTTATACTGAAATGAATTTTTCTTTTACAAATGAATCCTGCGAGCTGTTGAGCTTGATTCAAATAAACTTTCCGTTCAGTTTTCTCTGACGAATTTGGGTGCTCACGAAAAGTGGTCAGACTACCCAGCCGTTCCAAGCAAGCTTTTTGTCATCGCACTCGCCTTCTAATGATGTGATTGCCTAATGAGCGTATGTAGGAGTTTTAAAACAGTGCATTTTGTCAAGTGCTTAACGCATGACTTATGAAAAATGTTGGACTAGTTGAGGTTTCTAGCAGGTGCGATTTTTTGTATTTAGAATATTTATAGTCACTGGAAATCCTCACAGTTACTCGCAGATAAGCAAAATATATTTAGGATTAGTTTTAAAAGGCCAATGCTATGATATACAGCTTGCTCGGCATATAATATCATCAGCTTTAACAACGATGCTGTAGTTGACTGCAGAATGGCCCTGGGTAGACTCTCGCGAGCGTGTCTCTTGCGGGCTAACATTGGTATTCGCGCGCATGAGTCATCATAACCATACTCGGCAGCCGTTGCTGGCACGCTCGTGTTCATTCAGCTTATAGCGACTCGGGCGATTTCCTGCAGTCGGCTTTACCAGCCCTTTCGCGTTCCATGTCGGCCGATTAAGTCTGAAGCATACTTTCGCACATCCTCATCAAGTTAGCTTTTTATACTTTTTGTCTCTCCAACATTCCAACTAAAACTAAAAAACTTTGAGGAAAAATGAAACACGAAGAAACGAACTGATAATAACTACAAATAGATTCTGCTTACTTCACATTTTCACCGTATATGATAATATCTGATGTGGTTACGGTGATAACCGCAAACTTACCAAGGACAAGGTAAGAAATGAGTGGGCATGATAATCTTTGCAGAATTTTTACGATCTTACTGACTCCATTTCTGGTCTTTTGAACTGCAAGTTCTAAAAACAATAGGAAGACTCGAATTCTGACATCCGAATCCCCCTAAACAGGAATTAAAGTACGGACAAAAATGAGTAGAGTTTTGTAAATGTTTTTGAGCACATATTGAGTGGTATAATGTCCAAGAATGATGTGCTTGTCCTCACTATCTGTTGAATGTACCAAATCTAAAATTAGTTCCTTTCGAGCATGTTTTTATTGTCTGATACATGGTATGGTGGTGTTTTCGTGGTGATCCAGTTCTCCAGCCGCATACAAGTATGAGCCTTTCAATCCTGTGTTACCAAAAGAAGGGTAAATTTACTCTCACGAAGCGCATCCAGCCGAAGCTTCCGTATGTGCGTTTCCTGGTTTCGTTCCCAAAGCTTTGGGAAGAGCTTGAGATTTGCGAATCAATAAACACGTACAACTGAATTTTATTCATTACAAAGTACGAAAGGTATAGTTATCAGGCATAAAAACCCATTCCCATATTTAGACTCCCAATCTACAGTTGCTATATTAGACATAAGCATGATAAGTAATGAAAATATCAACAGTAATCACATGCATGCCCCGAAAAAATAGAGAGAGTACAACAAGAAATGAGTTTTTGGAGCTTCTGCTCTTTTCACAATCAGAATCCTACAATCAGAACTTATCGAGCGGTAAACGGAGGTGGTTAAAAAATGCTTAAGAAACGCTATGGAGAGGGGACCCGGAATTGAGTTGTCAATGCGCTTCTTTACAATCAGATCTCATTGTCAGATGCTAGAAAGAAGACAAAACGGAGTATATTTTGACTTGGTCTCAAGCAGTTGCAAAAGTAGCGCTATGTGACAGTGATCATATAACTTCGATCAGAAAAAAAAATGGGAGAATCTAATCAATTCGACTCAAAAGAACTGCATTTCCTTAAAGGCAGTGGGTCGGAAAAACTCAAGAACTCAGTATTTCAACGCGTTGGGTTCCTTATCGCCCACGTTTAAAAACAGTGCAATCCCGGCTGCACAGCATGATTTCCCTGCCGAGAAAATTGCTCCCAAACTTACACGCGCAGACTAATCTTACACGCATCCGGACGAGTTGTCAAATTCCCTCTCATCATTGGAGGCTGTCCGCCGCAATGCTATAACCATTGGGTTTTCCAACGATTCAGCGTCATCAGTCTTGCTCCGCTCGTCCAATTCCAAAAAGAAGGGCATTGAAAAACGTTCGTTTTCGCCGTTTTCAAGCTCTCAAAAGTGCATTTTCGGGATCAGAGTATTGAATAACCCCAAGTAAGCGGAAATTTCACTAGAGTGAGATTTGCCGAGCCACTGCCTTTAAATGCTCCATTAATTTTGCACATCCCTTTTATATTATTCAAAGCTGAATGTCTGCTTGTCTGTCT